TTGGTATCAATCTGGATATGAAAGAACGTGTGATGACCTGGTCTAACGTCGAAATTCCGTTAAACGTGGGCTACGATGAAAGTACACCCATTAGACGTCTGACCACGGACCATCCAGAGATAATACCGCCCTGTGCCGAAGCAATAATATGGGTACCAATGAATGGAGATTGTGGAGCCGAGAAGTTGTGGGTGGTGGAACCAGCAGAAAACAGAAACAGTAACATCCTAATAACGAATGCCCTGGTGAAAAGCAACAAGGACGGATTAATTCCTGTTAGAGTTTTGAACCTGTCAAACAAGCAAGAGCAAATTTGCCAATTTTCCGATGTTGGACAATGCACACCAGCTGAAGCTGTAGTTAATTTGGAAACTAGCACGGAAAAGCCAGCTGCCATGGAGAAGAAGCACCTCGACGGCTACATAAAAGAGTGGACACACCAATTATCACCTTCCGAGAGGAACAAGGCTAAGCAGCTATTATGGAAATATGCCTCTACCTTTGCGTTGACAAAAGAGCACCAAGGAAGAACATCAGTGGTGAAGCATGAAATCTATACAGCAGACGCGAGACCCATTAAACAGCCTCCAAGAAGTGTACCCCTGGCAAAAAGAGACGAGGTTCAGAAGCTGATAAGTGAAATGGAAAAGAGTGGTGTAATAGAACCATCGTCAAGTCCATGGTGCTCCCCAGTGGTCTTGGTCAAGAAGAAAGACGGAAGCACCCGATTTTGTGTGGACTACAGAAAGTTGAATGATGTCACCAAGAAAGATAGCTATCCGCTCCCAAGAATCGACGACACATTGGACACATTAGCCGTGACGTCATGGTTCTCCACCCTCGACCTGCAGAGTGGGTACTGGCAAGTAGAGATCGCCGAGAAAGATAAGGAGAAAACAGCGTTTGACGTAAATGGGGGTCTCTGGCAGTTCAATGTCATGCCATTCGGACTCTGCAACGCCCCGGCTACATTTGAAAGGCTGATGGAGCGTGTGTTAAAAGGGCTGCAGTGGAAGTCGTGCCTCATATACCTGGATGACATCATAGTCATGGGACGCAACTTCGACGAACACATCAAGAACTTAAAGGATGTTCTACAGCAGCTTTCGTCTTCAGGCCTCAAGCTGAACCCAAAGAAGTGCAGTCTCTTCCAACGAGAGGTGAAGTTCCTGGGGCACCACGTGACGCCGGAGGGCATATCGACGGATAAGGAGAAAATTCAAGCCGTCAGAGATTGGCCGCAGCCCCGAAATCTCCATGAGCTGCGAAGCTTTCTGGGTCTCTGCACATACTACCGTCGATTTGTCCAAAATTTTGCCAACATCGCCGCCTGTCTACACCGTTTGACGCAAAAAGGCCAGAGGTTTCAGTGGGGCAACGACCAGGAGGAGGCATTCAGAAAGCTCAAAGACATGCTATGCAGAGCCCCCATTTTGGCATACCCTATACCTGGCGGCAAGTTTGTCCTGGACACAGACGCAAGTGCGTGCGGCATCGGTGGCGTCCTTTCCCAGGAAATCGACGGACAGGAAAAAGTCATCGGGTACTACAGCCGGACATTGTCGAAACCTGAGAGGAATTACTGTGTGACGAGGAGAGAGCTGCTTGCTGTCCTTGAGTGCGTTAAACACTTCCACAAATACCTATATGGCCAGCATTTCCTGCTGAGGACCGACCACGCTGCTCTCCAATGGTTGCTGCAGTTTAAGAATCCGGAAGGTCAACTAGCCCGTTGGATCGAGAGGCTCCAGAGTTATGACTTCAGAATCGAGCACAGAAAAGGCGGAAAACACGGTAATGCTGATGCCCTGTCTCGTCGGCCATGCAAAGTAGAATGCAAGCACTGCTCAAAGGCTGAGAATAAAGAGAATATCGTTGATGTCCGACTATTGCAATTTGAGTCGGGTGAAGATTGGTCGACGGAACAACGAAGAGATCCCATTCTGGGCAAAGTAATTTCGGCCATAGAAACGGGCAAACGACCTAGTCGCAAAGAATTTACCTCCGAAAGCCCTCTTTTAAAATCCTATTGGGCCCAGTGGGACAGTCTACTTATAATAGATGGTTGCCTATATCGCAAATGGGAAAGTGAGGACGGTAAATCTCACCGGAACTTGATCGTCGTCCCAGACTCCAAAATAAGAGATGTCTTGTCGGAGTTTCACGATGGGCCAAGTGGAGGACATCGTGGCATAGCAAAAACCGCTGAAAAGGTAAAGCAGAGATTCTACTGGGTCGGCTGTCAAAAATCCATTGCCGACTGGATCGCCAATTGTGAAAGGTGCATAAGAGCTAAAGGTCCAACACGGAAGAGTCGAGGCTACACGCAGCAGTATAATTCAGGAGCCCCTTTTGAAAGAATCGCAATGGATGTAGCTGGACCGTTCCCAACAAGCGACTCTGGGAACCGGTATGTCTTAGTGGTCATGGATTACTTCAGTAAATGGCCAGAGGTTTATGCTATCCCAAATCAAGAAGCCAGGACAATTGTTGATGTGTTCAGCAGAAATTGGATTTGTCGCTATGGTGTTCCATCTGAGGTTCATTCCGATCAAGGGAGGAATTTTGAATCAGCGATCTTCAAGGAAATGTGTGACTCCTACGGAATCAAGAAAACCAGAACGACGCCCCTACATCCACAATCAGATGGCATGGTGGAAAGATTCAATCGCACCCTGGAAGAACATCTACGGAAAGTGGTGGACAGTGGCCAACGAGACTGGGATGAGCATATTCCCAGGTTTTTACTGGCTTATAGATCGGCCATTCATGATTCCACATCCCGGACCCCAGCCAAAGTTCTGTTCGGAAATGAATTAAAGCTACCTGGCGATTTGATATTCGGTGCTACCCCAAACGACGATGTGAACCAAGATGAAGACAGTCAAAACTCTTTTAGTAAAGTCCACGATGCAGTCCGACATCGAATAAAAATGGTTAGCAACCGCATGAAGGCAAGGTACGATCGAGCGGCAAATACTGATGGGTTTCAAGAAGGGCAACTGGTACTATTGTTCAACCCACAACGAAAGAAAGGACTATGCCCCAAATTACAAACGCACTGGGAAGGACCCTACAAGATTGTCACGAAAATAAATGACGTCGTTTATCGCATCCAGAGGAGCGACAGTCCCAGGTCGAAGATGAAAGTTGTACATTTGGAGCGGCTGACCCCCTACGGAACGGGAACTGTGCCTATTCGGGACGAACAGGCTTAAGCGGGGGGCAATGTTACGAATATAACTTTAGATTTAAGTTAATTTAGATGAATTCCGTTAATTTAAGAATTTGAATTGTAACGTAAATTTCTACTACGCAGTTTATTTGAATAACTTCACAACAACAACTACTGTATAGATTTTTCTACATCCTTCCATTTCCTCTTTCATTTTCTATTTTGTTGCTGACGTACAATTCTTGTTAAACGTCATCATTGATGATCGCTTAATTCCTCTTTCTTTTTTACCCCCTCGCCTGTGTATGTGTTGTTGTTATTGTTCACTCAATGTAAGTTTGTATGTGTTCGTTGCATTGGTAGATTGTTCGTAATCTAGGCGTTACCAGATCGTCTAGAAACTTCTGTAGCGACAGGCGAGGCTCATATAAATAGGGGAAATGGAAAGGCAGTTAGTCAGTTGTGAATCAGATCGCGAATTGAAACCGTCGAGTAAAGTAAAGTGCAAAGTAAAGTAGTGTGAATAAAATCATTGTAATAATCGTAATCCGAAAGAACCCGCGTTTTATTTGGTACGAGCTGTATTGGGAAATAAAACAACGTCTACACGGGATTAAGTAAAATCCAAGAACGTAACAATATTTTAATTGGCTCAGATTGGGATATAATTTTATTAAGAAGCATTGACCCAAAACGCCTTTGCAATGGTATTAGGCTAACAGTAAAAAACTAATTAACAATTTAATTGAGGTTACGATTGTTACGAGGAAGTATGTAGCTATCTTGAATTCTCTAATTGCAACAAAAATGCCAAATACTATAATAAAACCGAAGGACAAACGCTTGGTGTATGCGTACTAAATTTGGCATGTTCCTGCTTTTCTCAGACATGTTCACGTGTTAGTAGCTATTTTTTTATTTACGTATTAAAGTATTACAATAATTAAGTTTAAGTGTGGCAAAAATGTTTGAATTTGTTTTAGTTTTTTTTTTTTTTTTTCAAACCAATACCAAAACGTGAACTTATACTTACAATGTTTCGCCACACGAGGAAGAACCCATTATGACCTACAAATACCAATTTTTAGACAAATCTGTGAAAAAATGTTGGAAAAATCATCCAAATGGAAAAATCATCCAAAATATCTGGAGGTACCATTATAGGGGGGCTATACCAAAGCCCGGGCCTATACATACAATGTTTCAAATACCAATTTTCGGACAAATCTGTGAAAAAATGTGGCAAAAACCATCAAAATACCGAATATCGTGAGGTAATGTTATAAGGGGACTATATCGTGGACCTATACGTCCAATATTTCGCTACCGGAGCTTGAACCTATGTTGACCCACAAATACCAAATTTCCAATAAATCTGTGAAAAAATGTGACAAAAATCATCAAAATGCCGAATATCAGGAAGTACTGGGAGCTATATCCAAATCTGAACACTGTAAACTTTTTATCTCAATCGGGAAAATGCTGCCCGTAATATGAAACAGGCAGACGATTATGCATAAATACAGACTTGCACATTCATAAACCATATTTATTTATGGACTGCTTTGAAATTTGTCTTGATATCACCAGAAGGACGGACAAAGCTAAATCGACTTATACTCCAGAAAATATGTGGTTTCTTTAAATTTCGAAGTATTATTTATGCAGCTAACACTATTTTACTTCTATATCTAATATATAAAAATTGGCATTATTTGCATGATGACATAAAAACACCGGCCGCAACTGAATGCATTTCTTCGATTCCAGCATTGACTTCTTTTTACTTATTATTTGTTTGTTTTCCAAGTTTTTGTTTCCTTACCTCTTTTCCCGGCATGAAAGCTGTCAAATGGTGATATACGTTCGATTTGTGCCACTAGCTTAGAGCGTGGCAAAATCAAACGGTCTGCATTGATACGATCCACAGCTTGGCGAAATGCCAGTTCCTGATTGTCATCGGAAGGATGAAATAAGCCACCTGAAACAAGGAAAACATTGGTATAACGACAACAACAAAGAAAATTAATTGTGTGTAAAATAAACAAAACATTTCACAATTATCAAAATGTAAACACAGAATGGAAGTATGTATTGTTGACTAAACGTAAAGCATCACCACCACAACAAACAAGGAATCCTCGCTCAAAACAAACAAAGTGGCCAAAGGAATGAAATAATAAAACAACAGAACACCTCGCACGTTTTCATTTTAGAAATACGATTTGTTTACAACGGCCCTTTGTTGTTATCCTTATTTTCGCCCTCGTTGGGGGTTTTTTAGTACTCCAAAAACGTAAACAAAGCTACAACATTTACATCACGCACACACACACTTGACTCTCTCGCACACATATTACATATTGTTTGGTGTAGTATCAACACTTCACCATCGCCACCAACACCACCACCACCGCCGCTGCTGCCAATCACTCAAGAGAGTAGATAAACTGCAAAATTCTTTAAGCAGATACATCCTAACGTTTTCGGATGGACAATGAGGAAATGTCACCGATTTTTTCCTTACCAATTTTTATTACATCCGGTAAAGCGTTAGAATAGGAAATGGAACCGATTAAAATCACGCCCGTAATAGTTAATAAAGTTTTCACCGTGGTACCGAACATTTTGCACAACTATTCTGAATATTTCGTTGGGATTTGCGTTAGAATTTTATTTGAGTTTTTCTTCCGTTTTGCAGAAGATATGAAAATCTTCAGCTGCCGTTGTTGTTTTTTGCTCTTATATACTTTGCATCTTTCCGTTGTTTGTTGTCAATGATGTGCGATGCCCTCGAAAGCTGTTGATGTACTAAAGCTGAGCGGCACTCAGTGCCTGCTAATATCAATGTAGCGTTTTGTTATTATTTTTCAGCAGCATCCATATAATCACGGAATTTGAAACACTTGACAGATAAGAGAACCTGCGCACTAAGGATGCTGTTGTTTTATACCATGAAGCTTTAAGGAATTTTGGGTTCGAATATCGTGTGTAGTGCATGTAGGTTCGTGTCTAAAGTATGTAATAGAATTTTAACTTCCGTAAAATCAGTAAAGAATCATTTAAGGTAGGTGTCGACTATATTATACCATACGCTACTCTAAGTTTAAATTGAGGTGCTGCCAATTGGAACTCAAAATTTTATATCGATTGAAGCAAACCTGTAGGAACTATATCTAGATATTATTAATATGAGTGAAACAATTTAAAAATGAGAATATTTTTTCCATTCATATTTGGAAAAATCCAATTACAGCTTATCGATAAAAAATTAGTTTAAAACATGTCACTCTGTAAAAAACCTACTACTCCATACCAAAATACGGAGCGAATCCAGACTCAAATATGAAATACCAAAAAATTGTTATAATTGTATAATTTTATACATAACTAGCTGGCCCGGTCCGCGTTTCCGGCCCGTAATTTAAGTCTTTAATGCTATTATATCATCCACCTTGGAATAGAGGGTATATTAACTTTTCATTCCATTTGTAACATCACTAAATGTTTGTCATAGACCCCATTAAATATGCATATATATTCATAATCAGCATAAAACTCTAAGTCGATTTATCCGTCTGTATGTCTGTTTGTTTAAATTACGATACAGCCCACATTATTTGATGTATAGCGTCAAAATTTAGCTGAAAATTTTGTAATGTGTATAGGATGGTTGGTATTAAAAATGATCTATCGGTTCACGTTTTGGTATATTCCCCATATAACGGTATCTCTCGAAAGTCGGTATTTTGATGATTTTTGCCACATTTCTCCTCGGATTTGTCTAACACATACAACGATACCTACCTATATTGGGTATGTTGATAATCCACATATTTACGCGTGTAATTGTTTCAAATTTGGTATTTTAGAAGGTGACAATCCTTGAAGTATAAAATTGTCCACAGAGGTTCCCGTTTTGGTATGGCCCCATATAACGGCCTCATTCACTTTATGGTTTTTTCATAAGTTAACTGCATTATCCAAACAGTCTTACTGGTATATAAAGTTTAAAGTGAAACACGCTTGAATTTATATACTTTCATATAAAAATTTTTCCTTTACCCTCAGATGGATGATAGTAATAATTCTGCCCAGCCGAACTTAATTTTTTTACTTGTTTTTAAAGTAATATGAATTATTTGTCATTGAAATTGCGCGTTGGAGACCCCATAATTTCCATATCTTTTATCATAGTATAATTCAAAGACGATTAAACAAATGTTCGGTTCCTTAAATCATATGATGGTTATACAAAACGTGATCAGTTTTTGCATAGATGGTTTCTTTCCAAATTAGCAACATTTGCCGAAATTAGTATGAAAACATGGTTAAAATGTAAGATATACTTGAAATCGGGTTGTATCCTTATCCGGGGGTTATGGCCCATATCATGAACTGCAAAAGTGATTTAAGGTATTGTGAAAGTTTAGGAAGAATTTCTGAAAGAATAGAAATCCTTTTCCTTTTATATTCGGTATTTCACTGATTGGAGTCCCAATGAATTTTGCATATTGAGTTCTCATTCTCTCATTCCGAAGTTGTATGAATTGTGAAAATTCGTCAAAACGTTCTTGAGTTATAAGCATAGTAACTAATAAACAAATTGAAAAAAATCTTGAACTTGTTAGCTGTTTTTTTACAGCCAATATTTAAAGGTCCTTACGAAGTTTGGTCCTTACTATTATTTTGAAATTTAATTCCATTGAAAAAATGTTCTCAGTTTTTTCCTATTTTAGAGTTTTTGCAGTGCAATATGTTGTTTTTTGATTTTTTAGCAATTTTGGTTTGACCACGTTAAATTATTTTGGCATCATCTATTCAGTCCCGCCACTCCATAATTTTCGTCGCTTTCTACTACCCAAAAAGATTACACATCACATTTGAATTCAAAAAAAAAAAAAAAAAAAAAAAAAAACAAGTAAGCAAAGACTATAGTCGTGCGGGGCCGACCATGTGATACCCTACAACACTACAATATGTTCGAAGCCCCTTATGTCCAAATCCATTTTGAAAGATTTCGCTTTTGAAATTATGTGACGGAGCACTGCCCAGATATTACCCTTAGCATTTTGACCAGAGACATTTGCTCAATATTTACGCACTCCGTCGTATTTTGCGATCATCTCCAAAAGCAAGAGGCCCATCTGTATCTCCAAATTTAGACTCATCTATACCATCTTCTTGTCTACGATATTTGGCTATATTCGTCAACGAAATCAGCAAAAAAAGGCAGAAGTTCGCATTTTGTGTCTTTCGGCTATCGCTTGTAAGTAATGTTGGTATTTTTCAGACAAAAGTAGTGGTCCATTCTACCCGCTGTCCTAAACTCTAACTTCATGCGAGATTTCGTGTCCTTTGGCTTCTATTTATGACCTTTATAATGGCTGCAAAATCACGAACATTTTTAGTTGTTGGTCCATTTCAACCCCTAATTATATTGCGGATATCTTTGAAAACAATAGGCCTAGCCCTTCTGAGCCTAACCCTACCCTTTTCGTGAGGATCGGACGATAATTGCAATCTGTATATAATATCCCAAACCTGTGTTGTAAGGTGGAAAAATATTACAAAATGTACACCTTAATATTATAAGTCAAATTGAAAAAATCGCATGCGATAAAAAATATGAAAAAATAAAAAAAAAATGTCACAAAATACTAAAAAATCTATATTAAGATCATTTTTGACTTATTTTTATGCGATTTTTTTAGATTTTATTCTTTTATGCCAGGAGGGCATTCAGAATTGACAAAATTTGTCAAAATCGGTCCAGCCATTCTTGAGATATAAGCATTCCATATAACATTCCTTTCCTTTGTATATACACATTGTATATATTTCGCTATATATATCCGATATATTTACTATCGGCTTCTACGTAACGGTCAGAATTGACCTGTTTGTCTATTTATGATTTCGCCGGGACTAAAAATATTCGCGGTATAATGGAAATTTGACTTTTATTTAACACAAATGTTATAGTCTTTTTCACCCGCTAAATATTATCCGATGACCACCCAAATTGGTAGGCTTCTTCTCCGCCCTAAACTCTAGCTACATCCGAAATTCCGCGTCGATTGGTCTATAATTGCGACCTGTATAGCCATTGCAAAATCCGACATATTTTCAGTATTTGGTCCATTTCAACCCCTAAATATTGTGCGATCATCTCCAAAAGAAATAGGGTTCTATTCTGACCTTATCCCCACCTCCATTCTAAATTTCGTGAAGATCGGGCCATAATTGCGACCTGTAGCGTGATTACAAATTAACATGGACAGACGGACAGACGGACAGACGGACGGACGGACATACATAGCTAGATCGACTCAGCTCGGCGAGCTAGGAAGATCCATATATACTTTCCTATGTGGGAAATCAATATTTCGAGGTGTTACATAATTTTTGGCCCAATCAAACTTATAATACCCCCAACACAAAGTGTTGTAGGGTATAAACACTAATATACATACCGAAATAGTAAGTCTAAATGGAAAAAAAATCATACAAAACAAAACATTACTATTGCACACTTCAAAGGTCAAAATGAAAATTTTAAAATTTCACATTTTTACGCGATTTTTTTGGATTTTATCCTTTTCTGCCAAGAGACAATTCCGAATTTGTGTAAATCGTTAAAATCAGATCAGCGGTTCTTGAGTTATAAGCGTAGTAACTAACACAACTTCCTTATATATATATAGACAGATTAGAAGTATGCGTGGTCAGTTCCCTGGCGCCCAAAAAAATTCTAAGTTTGGAGGGAAAGTCAACAGTATCTCGTGTAATAATTTTCAAACCGACATCTTCATTATCTGGCAAATATAAAGATTTTAAATAAATCAAGACAGTGGACGTAAAAGTAGGCGTGGCCAATATTTTTTTCTTTAAAAACCTAACTCGGGGTATGACGAACGTTTGTACAAAAAATTATGCAAATCGGTCCAGCCGTTTTCAACTGATTCCGTTACCAACAAACAACAATTGATTTTTATACCCTACAACACTATGTGTTGGGGGTATTATAAGTTTGATTGGGCCAAAAATTATGTAACACCACGAAATATTGCTTTCCCACATAGGAAAGTATATATGGATCTTAATATCTCGCCGAGCTGAGTCGATCTAGCTATGTATGTCCGTCTGTCCATGTTAATTTGTAATCACTCTACAGGTCGCAATTATGGCCCGATCTTCACGAAATTTAGAATGGAGGTGGGGCTAGGGTCAGAATAGAACCCTATTTCTTTTGGAGATGATCGCCAAATGTTTAGGGGTTGAAATGGACCAAATACTAAAAAAATGTCGGATTTTGCAGTAGCTATACAGGTCGCAATTATAGACCAATCGACGAATTTCGCATGTAGCTAGAGTTTAGGGCGGGGAAGAAGCCTACCAATTTGGGTGGTCATCGGATAATATTTAGCGGGTAAAATAGACCATATCTTTTTTGTTGAAAAAATTTAAAAATTTTCATTAAACCGCGAATATTTTATATCCTGGGGAAATCACAAAGCCATGACAAGGTTACTTCTGATCTTTACATTGATGTTAAGATCCAACAAATCGGATATATAGCAAAATATGTGCGATATATATGTCTATCAAAGGAGATATGCTTGAAAGATCTCATATATGTCGAGAACGGCTGAACTGATTTCGACAGTTCTCACTAATTCAGAATGGCCTCTTGACAGGAAAGGAAAAACGTCTAAAAAATCGCATAAAAATATCTCTTTAAAGATGAAAATATTGATTTTCTAAAATTTTCTCATATTTTCAATTTTGTCATATTTTTGGCATATTTTCATTTTGAATTAAACATTTGGTAATA